ACATAACATTTGAAAATGTAAATGTGTCAAACTGGGTATACCAGTTTCAAAATATTTTCAAATAGGCCTATGTATAAACATTTATTAATCATTTATCAATATATAGGCTCTTAATATGAACATGTAGAGTAGCCTACAACAAACTGCTCTTGTAATAAGCAGCTGTATGACATGAAAAAACAAAAAACAAAACCTGAACTCTGAAATAATAGACATCTGCTGATCATACAATTATCTAGTTTTCAGAAATGAGGTCTACTGTATAGTGAGTTATTTTTTTCTTTAGAGACGTGTTGTATTAACTATTACCAGTAAGTTCATATGTGCTCCGATTAACATTAGCCTATATTATTATATTGTATTATTTTTATTTAAACTGTAACTGTGAATATATTTGGACGCTCCATGTTAGTCACTGAATAGGCTTACATGATTTTCAATTGATTTTTAGGTGATATTGCTTGAAAAGTGAATTATAATGAGTGCTCAAAGAAAAAAAAAAAATTATTTATGCTGTTTATTTTATTATCAAAGCCTATGTGATAACATAACCTGAGGCTAAAAGCTGTGATATTAATGTTGTCCACTAGAGAGAGCCACAGGATAAGGAATAGGCCTATTTGAAGTTTATTTTGAAAAATTAATTTCCACACTTTTGAACAGAAATAAATGTATATAACAATTTAATTTAACTATGATGTACTGACAGTATAGTTTTATATAATCAGTGTAAATTGCTTATCCCAAAGATTTTCCAATCGTTAAAATGTTCCTAAATGCTGTCTTAGTTTTTCTCGATTACTAACACACAATTCATGAAACAATTCACCACTTTGTCACAACTATAAAGACATTCTCGTGACAAACAAACTTGTACAAATTTCCATGTCAAAATCAAATACTCCAGTCAAAAACCCTTACTTCTATCAATATCAAACTTTGGCCTCAGATGGCAAAACCTACAGTACAAATACACAGACAACTTCCCTGCCCAGTGAACACTAGTGAGATCAATTCAGAACACTGTAACAAAAACCTCTTATTGGGATTCAGGAATTATTTGGCAGCTCAATGTCTTAGTATACAACACAAATGAAAAATGCAGAAAGAATAAAATACACCAATAAGCTTTATGAAACATCAATTTTCATTACATTAAGTGATCTTACAGTAGATGAAGTAGATGATCTTACAAGAGAAGTAAAGTTCAAAAACAAAATAACTAAATATCAAATAGGTATGTAACATAATACAGTAGAGTGCTGATTGCATACATAAATACATTGGCCAAATTTCATTACAGTAGTATATGGTACAAAAATAAATTTCTTGGTCTTCTGACAAAACACTTTCTCAACCTTGCTTAGGCAGTTGTCTTTCAGACTCAGTTCTGCAAAAACACTTTCTCAAAAATAATTTCTAAACTACTAAATTAATTAGTAAAACATGATTGAAGTGTTTACTCATGGTCCATTGCTTACATTATGAATGCATCTTTAATTTAGAATTTGGTCTTTGGATTTAACTGTGTTAATGCATTAAGCCATTTTTCGATGTTATTTTCTTGGGGACAAAACTCTTAAACTCATTTCATACAAAAACCAATTTTGTAAAAACAAACAAACAGGAAAACCAACAGGATGCGCATTTTTGCTCTGACTTGAGCAGGAGGGCTTCACAAAAATGAACCGAAACTCAGCGAATACTTGCCTCATAGACATGATAAACATATCTATAAAATGCTTTAAATTACTACTTTAAAACAAAAAAAATTAAAATCGAAAACAAAAACTCTTTCATTATGTAATTTCTCTCTAAATGCGCGTCCAGTTAAGGAGATGGCGATTCAGGATCAGCAGCTTCATCTTTGTGACACGGACTCAGAAAACACTAGTTTATTAACAAATAATTCAAATATCCCCTCACTATTATTTATTTATTTTTTTTACTTTTTTGTTGTTGTTTGCTTGTTTTTTTGGCCGCTGTGCCAAAATTGTGTTTGCATTCAGTACAAATAGCCTACAGCGGCATTAGTGCCACGTTTTTTGAAACTCTGATTGATCGATTTCATGAGACATTCGTTTGTATTAAATTGTTCAGATTTTTTTAACATGCATTCAAATATTCATTGTTCTTGCTGCAAATATTAAAGAGGAAAATTTCATTGATTCATATGCCACTACTGCCGAATTATCTCAGTACAAATTAAAGAGCGTAAAAACACTTTTTATTCTATATATTAAACTATAAAACTAAATATTACAACTCCAAAATAAAAAATTACAAATATTGTTTCGCAGACGTCATGTAGCTTCTCACGTATCTTCTGAGGCAGCTTCTCACACGAGAAGGGGGGCGACGAAAGTGTTGCGCTTCTTATCACACGTCATTGGTCACGGCTTCTGCTCATTTACTTGTTTTTAGTAAATTTCTAATTTTAGGCGGTTTCTATAGTGTGATCTTAATGACAATGTCGAGAGCGCATAATGTTAACATCTATAGCACTTAACACATTTGACAAAATCACACACAGAACTGGCAAAAGGTACTGCAGATGACACAGCGCAGACGTCATGTAGCTTCTCACGTATCTTCTGAGGCAGCTTCTCACACGAGAAGGGGGGCGACGAAAGTGTTGCGCTTCTTATCACACGTCATTGGTCACGGCTTCTGCTCACGGCAAGGTACGCGACGATCGACACGACTGATTGCTTAGTTAGCAAAGTAAATGCTTAAAGCACACCTCATAGTCATCAGCACCAAGCTTCAGAAACGCCCTCTGTCAAGCATTACTGATGCCCCGTGTGAATGGGGCGTTAGAGGTAAGCTAACTATAGATTTGAGCTCTTATTAATGAAAGTTTGAGCTTTTAATCACATTTTATGTGTAGATGAGTGATTTTGATAGTTTGTAAATGTTTTGTTGGTACTTTGTCAATAGATAAATGAAAGTAACTATAAGCTAATTAATTTAACCTAAAATTCTGCACTGTGTGGTCAATCGGTGACGTCACTTACATGAACTAATGGGCTGAAACTATTTCAAACATGTTTTGAACTTTCATTGCAAACAAGTATTGATAAATTGTACTGTGATTTCAGGAGCATCAGAAAAAAACTAAAACGGGAAGTTACAAGAAAATTTGTAATGGGAGCTGCTGACAGAGATACAGGAAACAGGTGATCTGAGAAATCTTATTAAATAACTTTATGCATTTTTCACAATATATTTCAACTATATCATCATGCATCTGTAAAACCTAAAAATGTGAATTCTGATATCTTAAGATGTTTTTGTATTTTTCTTTTTTTTTTGTATGTTTTGTATATTATTATTTCTCTTTTCTGCATTTCACCTCTGCTGTAGTTTGTTTATTTCTAATAAATCTGACATTGTATACTACATATTGTTGGCAAAATATCAAATATTTCCTGTATGTCCTACAAGGCCATCTTATTTAACTCTGCACTGAGGACACTTCATACACAACAACCTACAGAGGGGTCCATCATAATTCGAAAAAAGACACAGATGATAATAAAAAAAATCTTTGAAATTAAAATGAATAACGATAAGACAGAACCGGAGTACCGTGAACGTACCTCACTTCAAACTGTAACGGTCTGTATGTATATTATTTTCTAAACTTTAGTGAAGTGTTTGTTCAAGTAGACTTTGTTGCTTGTGGAAACCTCACGCGAGCCTGAAAGGTACTTAAAACTTAAAATCTGATTTGCACTCTTGAAGACTGTTCACCAAAGACTAAATTTTAGTCCAGCAGAATTTTCTGCACACTTCACCACTGAGGCCAAAATGAGCATTGTGAATGTAAGAGCCTC